ATGAGCAAAAATATAAATTGGAAATTATTTTAATAGCTTAAGATTTATTTAATTTTATATTTCCAAATTTTATATAACTATCGACTGCAGTTTATCATAATTCTTTACATAATATTAAGGCGGAAATTTTGAAAAAAAGAAAAATATTGTGGCTCTACCAAAATGTTAGTCTAAAAGAAAACCCTGACTCATGTAGCAATTTATTTTTAGTTGCTAAATTCAGTACGTTCTACAGATTATTTTTTATTTAATTGAACGTTCATGAAACAATTGAATGTTCGGTACAGAGGCCTTACTATTCGATTTTCATATTCGGAAAAATGATAAGGTACATAGATGATCAATTTGTATGGTACTACATTTCCATTTCTGCAAATACTAAAATCAAATTTCATAGTAAGATACCAGAACAGAATTTAAAATTCTTGGAATATTCTAGATTTACACATAACATTATTAAATTCTGAATTAAGGGCTCGTATAACATGTATGTTCAAATGTATAACAATAAAAAATTCAAAAAAAAAAAAAAAATGAAAAACTTATAAATGGATGAGTTTTTTTTTATTTTATTTTCTCTTTTTTTCTAATATTTTTATAACTTGCATTCGTTTATCTCTTTTTCTTCTGTTTCTTCTTCATTTTCTGGTAGACTCAATAAAACTGACAAAAACAGTTGTTTTAAAAACCGTAAGAAATTTTTCTGACCTTTTCCAGAAGGAATTTTAGTAAACTTTAAATATAAAATATTGATTGTACATTCAAACAAACTCAAAATATTGAAGTTTTATAATATACAATTTTTTTTTTTCGTAATAAAAATTAAAAGAGAAAAAAAAATTAAGATTTGTCGTTTTTGACTCTTCGATTGTGTTCTGTTTTTTTTTTGTGTTTGGTTTTTGTTGTATATAGCAAAAGAGTGTCATTGGCCATATCTACTCATAAAAAAATTTATGAGTTTTTCTTCATCTTAGAGTATTTTGTTTTTTTTTGTTGTTTTGTGAAATCTAAGAGAAAAAAATTTCAATTCAATTTTTGTTTTTTTATTAACTTTTCTTTTGTTAACTATTTGAAGTGTTTGTTAAGCGATGGTACACAATGCTGCACTCCAATATAAGAATTTGTAAATTGTACAAGTAAGCACTTTAAAATATTTTTCCCACAACAAAAACGAAAATGTACTAAATTGTACTTTACACCAAAACGAGACCAAACTAACCAAACCACACTACAATTTTAAAATGAGAGTGAACGGTTCTTTTAAAGTCAAATTGTCATTTCGTTTTGGTATTGGTAGCTGGTACCCATAAAGATTCCGAGAATTTCAATTAGAAAAAATCAAGAGAAAATAAAAAAAAATAAATACTTTGTAGCTGTCATTTTTTTTCTAATATTTTTTTTTATTAGATTTATTTATTGTTAAAAAAAAAACAAAACAAGAAAAAAAACGACACCTTCTTTAATGTAATTTTTTTTTTTTTTTTACTGTTTGAAATTTTTTTGAATACATTCTTAATTTAAACATAAAATTAAGCAACAAAAAGACATGAAAATGAAAAAACAAAAACGAAAATGAAAATGCTGTGCTGTCGCTATGATTGTTAAAGCGGTTTGGTCTCTCAAAATAAAAAATTAAAATTTTGTTCACAAGAATTATTTTAAGGTTAGGAAAAAAAAAGGATGTTAACATTTGTCACCTGTTAAGAACTTCATTATATACAAAATAAACAAAAGAAATAACAAACATTAGAGTGTTGTAAAAATTCTTGTGAATCATATTGAAGAGGTTTTTCAATTATTGGAGACAAAAGGCATAAATATAGGTAAAGTATACTTACAAAACAACAAAAAAATGTAGAAGAAAAAACATAAAATAAGATGAAAATTTTTTTGTAGAATTTCAACACCTGGATTTAAATTACAAATTAAGATCTGTATGTACATACATACATATGTTTGGGAACGAATACGCTCCGCAATATTGTGTCACCGCGTTCTTTACTTTTAAATTTTAAAATAAAACAAATATCCTTTAGTTAAATATTCAATATTTTCAAATTTGATTTTGTGTGTAGCCTTGACTCTTGTTAAATTGAATTCTTAATTAAATTTTATTTTTGAAAAATTATTCGTTTTTTTTATGATGACACGTTAATAGAATTGGATGCGTATAAAAAAAAGGAAATATTTATAATATTCTAAATCAATTTTAGGATACTAATTAAGATCCAAAAAAAAAAATTATTCTTTGAATTACTACTTTGTATATTTTTTTAAAAACGTTCAATCCAGGTTTTTCATTTATGACTTTGTATACATATTCGAGACTGTTTAATACTAAACACGTCAGCGCTTCAAATAATTTCAAATTATAAGAATTTTAAAGGGTGTTTTTATCAGCTTGACTAATAAAGTTCCAGATGTTTTTAATTTTAATAAAGTTTATTGTTGTGTAAATATTTCAATTGTTCGGTGTACAGGACAGTTAACCATTAATTTATTACAGGCCACCTATTATATATTACTTACATAACTCCTTGTGTCCTTTTTCTGCTGGGGATGTATACACATAAATTACGATAAATAGGTACGTTAGAGCAGGAATTCATGTTTGGTGGAAAGTTTTCCTAAAAAATATTAATCAAGATATAACTATAATAATTGAATATTTTAAAAACTTATTGAAAATAATTGAATATTTTAAAAGCTTACTGTTTTTTTTTTCACACCATCACCAATCTCCAGTATGTAACTTCCTCCGCCTTTAAGATTATTGAAAATATTATAGAGTTATGGATGGAGAAAGTTTTGAATGTTATGTTGATTGTAGACCACCATTTAATGAATTGTATTGATTAACTAAATATCATAGATGAAAAAATTTATTAGTGATTAGCTCAAATTCAATACATCCTGTTGTTATTAGATATAGCTATGTATGTATTTAGAAATCTTGAAGTAAACTATTTTTGTTTTGCATTGTTAAAATTTAAAACACACACATTAGTTGTAAAATTCTTCTGTTGTTCGTGTAAAATATCATTATATATAAGCAAGAGATTTTGCTTTTTAAAGATTTAAGACATATTTTCCAAAAAAACAAAATTATTTCAATTAATTTCGCATTAATCCTTATTTTGATTGGGTTTTCTTTCTTTTTAAATACTTTAGGAATATAATGAGAGAGTATAATTTGAAATACCATTAAGGTTGTCTATGAAATAATATCCTTAATGTTATGTACATATGTGTATCCCGTATGTATACATATGAAATGCTGACCTTTAAAATAAGATATTGAATGGTATTAATGGACTTTAACAATTTTGATAATAAAAATTAGAAAATCAATTTATTACAATAAGTAGATACACGTAGTTGTTTAAGAGTATTTATTTACAAGAAAGAATAAGTTATGTCTGTCCATATTATCTGTCTAACAATTATATTTAATTTTAAAGAACTCATACATTCTTATTGAATTAATTGTTAATTTTCTCACAACATGACAAAGATTTCCCAACATACATATTTAAGACACGTACATAATTCATTTTGGGCATTTAAAATTAATACAATATGTAGTTATACTTACTATTTAACCGTTATTTACACCAAAAATGCCTTGTAATTCAATTATTGTAAAATATTATAAACTTAATTTATTGGAATTTTATTGCTACTTCTTCAGCCGCTAATTTAATTTATGCTTTAATTTTTGTATATTTTAAATTAAAATTTTATTTTTTCTTTTATAATTTTCCGACATTTAATAAAATATTTTTTGAATGCAGATGACATTAAAATAATATTTGACGTTTTTAAAAGAAATTGATATTCACAATAGTTTTACTTTATATTTAAATTTTTTTTTTCCAATAAATTCAAAATTAAGTTGTAAAAATTTTAAAAATATTTACGATTGTATAATATTACAAAGATTTTTTACAATAACAATTTTGTAATAAAATAAATTCAATGGTGTTGTCAGTTTTAATTTATTGTGCCTTTATTCTACTGTTTCTGCTGTTATATAATATTTAATATAATATATACAAAAATTGAAAGACTTAAAACTTAACTTGAGGTCAACCTACAAATTTGACAGTAGTATAACAAGTAAAAAAAAAAAAATTTTTTTTTCCGGCACGTGTTACAACTTATAAATTTAGTTTTTGATTTTCTTTAATATATATAAATGATGCTAATAATGGTTATTCTGTTCTGATTATTTGAAAACACTCTTGTTGAATAATATGTACATATATGACTATTATACGGGGAAGGCTAAAATATCCCACTTTTTACAATAAAATTTTTTAATTGTTTTTGGTATTAAAGATTATTTAAAATCAAACGATTATTTAGAGTTACAAAAAAGGATTCGTTGCTAAAGAAAGGAAATTAGATTTTAAAATCTAAGAGAAATTTTTATATACTTCCGGTAAATTATTGTTATACAAACTTTTGTAATAGTTATTTTGAAATAGTGTATATATATACAAAATTTTTGCTCAAAACAGAAAAAACATTTATATTTAATAAAATTTTCAATTTCAACTTCATAAGAAGTTTTTTAAAAATTAAAGGTGTTTTAAATGCATATATTGTGAATTTAAAATCATATAGACCATTTAATAGAAAACTAAATATCTGAATTTAGAACATTTTGGTTCCATAACTCTGTAATATTCGTATTTTATGAAATATTAAATTACAATAAGGCTAAGTAGGATTGAAACTTATCTTAACAAAAATACAATTTCGGATTCGGCAAGAATAACAATTATTTTCTTTATAATTATTATAAATTTTTTATTTTAATTAATTTAATGCAATTATATTTTTAGTAAATCAAATTTTTTTATATAGCATGTATTAGCAATTTATAAGCAATTTATTTAAATACCAAAAAAAAATTTTTAATTATAAATTTAATTATAAAAATCAAATTTATTTAAATTATTAATTATTTTATTTAATTTTATTTTTTTTTTTAGATTTCGTACATGTTTAAAAATGGCTGATTCAGCTGATGCAAATATGGTTGGAAAAATATTTTTTAATATTGTTCAAACAAAATGTTTTGTATTAAAACCAGAAAAAGTATGTAAAATGCGTGATGAAAATGATAGATGCATTAAGAAAGCATTAAGAAAAAGAGCATATTTAAGAGATAATAGAAAATTTTAACCACATACATATTTAGCTTATATTTAATTTAATTATAGAAATTAAAAATTATTTATATATATATATATAAATGTAATAATAAGAGAAAAAAAAATTACAATACATTTAAATTTAAATTTAAATTATTTTTATTAATTAAATAAAAAAAAAAAGAAATATATAAAATAAAAAAAAAAATTAATTACAAAATAGTAGAAATAATTTTACTTAATTAATTTATAATTTCCTTTAAATATATTAATTGTGTAATATTTAAATAATAACTATATATATAATAATGTACATATAAATATTAAATCGTGATTAATTAACGATATTGCATAATTTATATTTAAAAAAAAAAAAATGTTCTCTTATATTATAATAAATATGTATATAAAAATTTTTATTTAAAAAATTTTATAAATTTAAAATAATTATTGTATATTTTGTAATATATGTATACAGGTTGTATTTTTTGATAACTATGTAGGTGGTATTTGAATTGCATTTAAAAACTGCAACAACTAATTCTCTAAATTGAATTCTAATACCATAGAATTCGAATTATATGAAATTTGGTCTATAATATTATTAACATATTTAAGATTAATTAAATTGTATTTTAATTAAACTATGAAAAAAATATTATTATATTGTATTAATCTCATTTCAAATTCATATTCTTTTCAAGTAATAATAATTTTTTATAGAATGTCGAGCTCCCAAAAATTAATTTTAATTATACTTAATTTGTACTATTCAAATTTATTCAACCTGTATGTATAACCATACTTATATTGTAATATAAAATAAAAACAAATAATGTAAATTTTTAATAATAAATTAATATTTTTAAGTTGAAATAAATAACACTCATAAAATTATAAGTTTAAATTAAGAAAAATTAAGTTTAAATTTTGTAATTTACCATTTTTTTATATTAAATATTTAATTATGTAGTATAATATAAAAATTTTATAATAATATTTATGTATAATGTAAGTATAGAAGAAAAGAATCCTAAGAGAAAAGTATTTTTGTTTGTTTGTAATTTTTTAAATAATTAATTTTATAATTTGTGTAATAATCTATACTTATAAAATTTATATTAAATATATTATGTACAGATTATATTTTATAATTAATAAATATTCTTTTATTATTATATAAATTATTTATATGTTAAATTGTTAAGAAAAAAAAAAAATTAAAAAAATGTTTTTGTTTTTTTTAATTATAAATGATTTATGGTAATGAATTTTTATTATTATTCAATTTTGAAATAATAATAGAAAAATGTATTAAAGTTTTAATAATTTTGTTAAAATAGAAGTTTAATATATTTTATTAAATCAGTTAATATAAATATAGTTGAAAATTTAAATATTCATTTATTAAAATTAAAAAGAAAACAATTAAGAATTTATAAATTATAAATCAATTAGTAGTACTAAATTTAAATAATTAGTTTCATGAAAATAATATGCAATATTTAATATTTGCCGCATAATTTATAATTTTAATTATTTTTTTTAAATTGATAAAGATTTTAATTATATAATAAGAAATTTTTAATGCAAAAATCCATTTTGAAATTTTCTTAAAAATCTAAATTTGCCAGAATCTTAAATCCAAATTTGCTTAAAACTCTACAATGGAGTAATACAAATATTTCAAATGTATTAAAATATTTGAAATTTATCAATAAAAATTTTTAAATTTAGTATTACAACTTACAATATTAAATTTAAAATTTTACAATATTAAAATTAAAAGAATAGAATCCATGACCATATTGAATAAAATCAAAATTTCGTATAATATTATTAAAATCTCTTCATATTTAAGAATAAAAATTAATTAATGTGAAAAATTATTTCTTATATTGACAAAAATTATTGAATAACTTAAAACTTTAAAATCTTGTTTCAATAATTATTATCATATTAATATTTATTTATGAAAATTATTGTAAAAATTAAAGATTTTATTTTAAATAATTATTAATTATTGTCAAGAAATATTGTTTTTTTTTTTATATTCTTCTGTAAATGGAAATTATAAAATATAGGGTTTGATCGTGTATCTCACTATTTTACTCGCGAAATGAAAAGTGTATAATGTAATTTAAAAGTGATAAAAATTTTTTCCAAATTGTTTTTCTCATATTTTCAAAAATGTTACAATATTTAATTATTATTTACTCATTTTGTATTTGAAGGTGATAGATTCAATCTATAATTTCAGATAAAATACAAAAATTCAATTACATAAATTAATAATCTTATTGGAAAAATGAAAATATTCACTAGAAAAAGGAAAAATTGTGATTTGCAATTGAATAAAAAGTGAGATGAAAAAGCAAGATACACGATTAGGCGGTTAATGTTAATTAAAACCATTAATAATAATCTTATTGGAAAAATGAAAATATTCACTAGAAAAAGGAAAAATTGTGATTTGCAATTGAATAAAAAGTGAGATGAAAAAGCAAGATACACGATTAGGCGGTTAATGTTAATTAAAACCATTAACTTTTACGAAAATCAAATTAAACATTTTAAAGTTTCACCAAAAATCATTTGTCTCGAGAAAAACTTTTGTTTTTTTTTTTTTTCTTAACATTTTAAAAGCAAGTTATTTTAGGTTTAATAAACCTAATAAATATTTAATTAAAACTAAATATATTTAAATTATAATTAATGCCAAATTGATGTTAATCAATTTTTCTTTTTTAAATAATATAAAAAAAAACAAAAAAATCATAAAATTAGATCAGTGGAGGCTTGATGAATGTATGAATGTGTTTTTTTATATATGTACGAATTAATAAAATTATTAGAGAAAAATTATGTAAAATAATAAAAAAACAATTAAAAAAAAAAACAAATATAAAAAATGAATGTAATAAAATAGAATTAGAGAATAAAAATTTCCAAATGTTCCTAAAAATTATAAATTTAAGTACCTTTAACCTAAAAATTACTTAAAATAAAGTTAAAAAAAAATTTCAATTTATAATAAAGAAAAAAGTTTTATTCATTGAACGAGATTAATTGACAATTAAATATACTTTGTAGCTTTCTTATTTTCAACGAGAATTATTCTAATTTTATTATAAAAGTAAGATTCGGAAGACACTTCGTAAAATTTGATTTCAAAAAGGTAACGAGGTGGTTAATTAATGAAAAATTACCTTTTACAAAGAACAAAGACACGGAGATTCTGAGTTTTGTAATTTAATCAATAATAATTTTTAATTGCTTAAATGAATACCTTCCGATATAAGATAAGATCTACCGATATACACTGAATAATACCTTTTTAATATGACTACTCAAATTGACCAATTTCTTCAATTTTTACTCATAAGACATAATAAAAATAATTAAACATAATACAATAATTTTGTAATATAATGGGTATCTACATAATTTTTAATTTGGGCACATTAGCCGTATCAAAACTCAAAGTTACCATTACAGCCTCTCAGCTAAATATTTGAAATTAATTTAAATGAGTATGTTATTTCATATTTTTCAATTTTGATTAAGCGTCTTTGTATAGGTGTATCATATTAAATATGATCCCGAACAAAAAAATTCTTTATTAATCAACATTAAAGCTTTTATGATTAATTTTTAAAACTCCGTCATTAGAGCTTGGAAGCTTCTTTTTTAAATTTTATATTTTTTGGAGCAGAAGCTTTAAATGCTTTGTATTGCTGTTTTTTTTTTGAAGAAATTCAATTAGCGATTTTTAAAATTGAATTGTGAAAGATATTAAAACTTTGCATATTTTGCGGGAAAATTTTAATTATAATTTTACTTTAGAGAAAAACTTTTAGTTAAAGCTCATAGTCAATTATCAAGAATTATCAGGAATAAGAAAAAAAAAAACTAAATACTTAATTACTTAGTTACGGAATTTGAAATTTTCGTATAATTTGCACCCATACTAAGTACTCGTATGTGTTCATATCAAAAACTTTATTGCAGACCAATAAATCTAAAAGAATATTTAATAAATTTGAACATTATGTTTATTTGATAATTTATGCATTATATTTTACATTGAAATATAAATATCTTTTAACTTAATTAAAATGAATTGCACTAGATTAAAATTAATCAAAGTGGTAAAAATACAGCGAAATTAATATACACATATGAATATGTTTTGATTAAGAATTTGTATATAATTTATATTGTATCAGTATATAAATTTATATAAATTTATAATGGAATACAGTTTTTGATTTAATATGAAGTACATATTTGTATAAATTGAGTGTAGTATGCAAGTAAAGACAAAACAATAAATTTCTAAACTCTTTGTATTTCAAATAATTTTACTTCGGTTTCGTACCAAATAGCTGGATCAACATTTCTAAAAATAAAGAGAGAAAAAAAAACTTATTCAATTTCAAATATTAATTAAACAATATTATAATATTTTACCTTAAGTAAATGACACCCCACATATAAGTTCTAAACCAAGCTGTTGTTCCAGTATTAGCTTGATACTTTCTGATTAAAATTGGATGAGGAACAGGTAATAAACCTACTAAAGTTCCATGTTGTAAAAATTTTAAAATTTCAGATTCATCGGTTAGTCCCCTGTAATACAATTTAATAAATTCTCGTATTAAATTATGCATATGTAAATGTAATTTTAATTTACTAACTTATCAATACATATTTTTTCTACTTGAGGAACAAGTACTTGCAATAAACGCATAATTGTTTGTAACGGCAATTTAGATTTCCATGAAGAAACCCATTCAGCAGTTGGTGTCCACGTTTTTCCTATATTATTCGATGATGATGAGACTCTTATACTACCACGTTGTTGTACAGATCGTTTTAACTTTTCAACTTGCTCCTCTTTTTCAGGAGAATTCTGTAAGTAAGCGAAAATGAACATTGAACTTTTATTTATAATTTTTTAATTTCACAAAATTCTTCTTACTTTAGGGCTAAGAGATATTTTTGGGCTAAGAGATTTATCACTATCCTTTGATTCAGCAAACTCAGTCAATTCATCCACTTTTTCATTTTCGGGGTTTGCGGATTCCTTTTCTGTCATTTGTGTTATACCTTCAAAATAAATAAACGTTCTTTATAAAATTTATTTTAATATCTTTAATTTTTTTATACCGGGAGTATCAAGTAAGGATGCTTGAAGTGTGCCAGGTTCAGCTTCTTTAGCTGGAGTTGAACCTTCCATAGATTCTTCAACAATATCAGTTTTAGTTTCCTCCTCATTATTCGATTCTTCATTTTCTTCTTCGGCAACGATATCTTCTTTTGGCTCTGGTTTTGAGATTACTTTTGCACTCTTAAATCTACCATGTTTCCTAGCACTTAAACATTTCGCTATTCCAGGCATATCCGATGGAAGATTCGCCAGTGCATGAAATAAATGCCTTTTTCTTATAATAGTGTAAACTAAATTTGAATTCCCATCGAACTGATATTGTATAATATTATTAAATATTTCTAATAAGAAGAATACTAAATGATGATTCGATGGTGAAGAAAATAAAAACCAAGGTGTGCTAAATGCCTCTAATAAATGCAATAACTTTACACTAGCTACCATTGACAATGTTTTCAAATATGGTGAGACATTAACTAAAATTGTTAATAAACAATCAAACAAGGGTTGCAATCTTTGGTGACCCGTTGCAATAATTTTATGAAAAACTGTAATTAACAAATCTGCGTGAGTTCCTACAAAGAATAAAAATACCATTGTCTCAATCCAAATTCTATAGTATATAATAATTTTATTCACCTGTAAAAACTGGTATATCCATTGGCACCGTCGCAGTGTATGGTTTATTTAGACGTACCCCGAAGTTTCTTTCCCCCGATAATAATAGTAATATAAAAACTCCAATATGCATTAAACCAACTCTTGCTGTAATACAAGTTTTTTAAGTATAAATTTTAAGTTAAAATTAATATAACACATACATTGATCAGCTCTGGAATCATTGAGGTGATACAAAATTGGTACAAGAACGTCTAAAACATCACTACTTTTGAGCACAAAGTACAAAAATTTCTACAAAAAAAAAATTTAATATGTATATAATTCTAAATATTTTACTTTTTATTACCTTATTGTAATCGCATATTTTCCAGAAGAAAACTAAAAGTTCTTGGTGACAATGCAACCTTTTTGTGGAATTGGGTAAGTAGCTTTGCACCAGTGGATTGTTTAAAAGTCGTGTAATACCTTTTAAAATAAATTGAAAGTCTTCATCTCGATGAATTCTTGACAGATAATTAATGAATAAATTATCTCCTAAGCCTTCGTCATAAGTAGGAGTTGTGGAATGTTGAATCATGTCATGGTCTAAAGTTACAATTAATATTTGTAAGCAAACTTCTACTAAAGGTTCAGTTGTGTCCGAAAATATTAAGTGATTGTAAGGAACACCTAAACCAACAGGGTCATAGGCGCAAACTGTATTCAAAAAAGATGTGAAAAGTGGCAAAGCATGACGATTTTCTGCGCTTGTAAAATATCTAAAATATTATAGAAATTATTAGTTAATGTCAATCAATTATGTCATGTTATGCTTACGCTATCCATTTATTTGGTTCATCAGTTTTATTTGGATTACGATAAATAGTTTCACTAAAACAAGTTAAAAGCAATTTTAAAAATTCAGTACGCCTTTGTTCTAATTGAGCGCTTTTTGGTGGCGAATGAGCAAATCCAACCCCTGTTTCCCAAATGTATTCACAACTATCTATATTACATAAATCTTCAGCCTTATCTGGACCTGCCTTTCGAACAGGTGATACAGTGAAATCTGGGCAAAATAATAAATCCTAAAAATTATACTAAATAGTAAATGAAAATTTATATAATTTTTTATAAGTGTATACCGAAATAGCATTTAATAGGCTATGTGCTAATGGTGGAGAATTGTCATCATGTTCACTGATAGTAGGTAATGAATTCCAAAAAAAATCTTTCCATTCGCTACTTTCAAATATATATGGTAATATTCTAGTTAATACGCGGACGCAATTTAAAACAGCCTGCTGTTCTGTTTGAGTTCGACAACTATTGTCTACAGCTAAAAATATTTGAAAGGTTATATTAAAAAAAGAAATATAAAATTATGTGTATTCAAATTAAAATCAAATTGTATTACACGGATGATATGGACTGTTGCACACTTACCTTTTGTTAACCTTTCTGTGGCCTTGTAACACTAAAATTAAGAAAATAATTTTAAATTGTAGGTATAATTTTGTGTTTTTTTAGTAATTATTATTGGTTTACCAGTGTAGCTAAATTAGCTGGATTATTATCCCGTAACAATCTAATCTCATTTGGAGGAATTAAAGAAAATACATCATGTATACTAGTTGAATGATCTGACCAAAACTGCTCCCAAAATGTTTCATCTTTGGCTTCGATTACCTTAAAAAACGCAATTTTATTTTATAATCATATATTAAAAGAATACTTAAAGTGTAAAAATGTCAAAAATAGCTATTTATAAAAATATCTACCATATATTAAAATTGAAATTTTATATAATACATTGGAAGATAGTAGTATGTATGTAACTAGATACATTTGTAAAATTCCAATGGTTTTTTTTTTTAAATTAAATTTTAATAATTTAGAAAGTAAACAAGAATTTCCTGTATGCCGTGATATATTACTTGTTGCTGGGACTCTCCTGGTTACCTTACTATATTTTGATATATTATCTGATAACATTTTAATTTATCGTTCTAGCTCCCTATTAGATTCATTAAAAACATAGGGAGATAAGTACCCCTCTAATACAAAATTAAAATAGCTTCAGTAAAATATTCTGAATTAATGTTTCAATCTAGATAAAAATAAAAATCTATAATAAAAATGCTAGCGCAACACAATTTCCAAAAGAACAAAAAAAAACATCTTCCTTCGCAAAATATCGATTTTCTTATTTTGGATGTGGAAAGGTGTAATCTAATGCGTTTTGTAAATATACAAAACTAAATAGGAAACCATTAAGAATTTTATGCAACTAAGAGAAAAATAATTTTTGAAGCTTTGCAATGCCTTAAAATTTTAAGTTATTGCGCAAAATATTAATTGACATCTAAATAATAAATGGTTTTTTTTTTCTTACTTGATTTTTACTGGTTAATTGAACTATTGCCTTGCGAAAAATTAATTTTGAATCAGTGTTTCCCATTATGTTGACTGTAATTATATCTTGTTTTTTAATTTGATCATAGGATATGTTTTTCTTCTTACAATTTTGTATATTTTAATAATATTTTTTTAATAAAAACTTTTCATTTAAATACGTAGCTATTCTTTAAATTTTAATGAAAAATTTAGTTTTCTACTTTTTTCTAATTCTACTTCTATTAGTTTATTAAAATTAAATGCCAACTCAAATGAAAACGTCAAATAGATGAGCAACATTTTGGTTTTGTTTATACACATATAATAAGAAATTGTTGCTGAAAATATTTGAAATGGAATGGAAATGAAACAAGAATAAAGAATGATGGAATTTCTTTTTATTTTGAATTCTATAGAAATAATGTATGTAATATATAACTGTTATTTAAATCAGCTGATTGTAAATATACACATTTGTACAAAATATACTATGGTATAGCAATTTTATAGCAATTTAACGCTTATAGTATTTTGCTTTTTAATTTATTTGTTATTCTAAATATTTGTTATATCTATGGAATTTAAAAAGAATTTATTAACATTTAATTTTAAAGTAGATTTTCCAGGTATTTCTTAGATTTATAAAATTAGTAATATGTATGTTATACAATAATTTCTGCATTATATTATTTATAATCTATTTATTATATGTATTAATAAAATACCATGGAATTATTAAATATATCTTATCAATCTTATCAATGAAATGCACATTTTATCTACGGTATGTGTATATTATAGTAAATACTTCGTTAAATTTGAAGATATATTTACATACATATGTACATTCCTTACATCCCGTAGTAAAATTTGTATAATATACTTAAGAAATTTGTAGAGGAATAAATTTTATACATCAAATCAATTTTTAGTTATGAAACAATTTCAATTTATTCATACTAACAAATCATTCACTTAAAGTTAAAATAATTACTTAGTTATAAATTATATTTAATAATAGTAAATTAAAATTTTAAAATTATTATTGTAGTAAAATGCTAGTGCACAATTAATATCTCTATTATTTACTCGTATATTAATGTAAAACTAAAAATTTGATTTTTTAAAATTTAAATATAAAAATTTTCTCATCCGATTATTATATATTTGTAAATTAATTTTAAATTGCCTATACATATACAATTTTTATGTTTATTATGTTATTAAATTTTTATATTATTAAATTCCTCTTAAAATTCCTTAATTTGCTACTATTCCAGAATATACATACCTGACACAATTTCGTTCATACACCAAAATATGATCCTCACATTTTCTATGCATAAGTTTTAAATATCAATAAATTACATAATTAAAAAAATAATCAACAATATATTTATAAATATTATTGAATTATAAAGAATTTGTTATATGAGTAACATATACATACATACATCTTTCCAAAGTATGTTATAGATTAGCTTATCATTGTTTTTTGGAAAATTTTCATAACAACATAAAATGTTTATTTTTTTTTAATTGTAAATAAAAATTAGCAAAATTTTGCCAACATTCTTAACAAATAAATTATAGCACATAAGGTATATGTAGTATATTTTGTACATATTCAAAAGTATTTTGTGTATTTAATCTAGGTACATTACAGTTACGCACATGTATTACATATACATACTTATGTATATAATATTATTTTGCGTGTAAACAATAAACTAGTGACTCACAATATTTTATAAAACCTGATAGCACAATCTCAAGTTCTAACAAGGTGTCAATAAAAATAGTTGTTTTTAAAATTTAATAATTTCATATAATGGTATAGATTTATTGTTTACAACAGTTGTATGTGCGAAAATAATTTTAATGAAAATTAAAATTGAAAACAAGAAAAATTTTATTATAATTAAAATTATTCGTAAATCACATGTAGTTAATAATTTTAAAAACTCTGATTGATTTGTTTTCTCAGAGTTTAATAATTAGATTTTTTAAATTGGAAATTTTTATTATTCATATATATTTTTAATTAAAGTTATATAATTAATTGATGAATTGATTAATTATAATTATATATGCTTTTATTCAATAGAAGTAATTCAACTTTTAATACAAAATTTTTTAAAATTCTTTATAATTTTTTTTTAGTGTGCCCCGTTTTTACTTTGAACTACATATTATATTAAATCTATATTCTAAATAATTTAATGCGGCTATGTAGATGTATGTAAGTATGCACAAATGCACTTTAATAAGCACTTATGTACATATATATAAATAATTAAAAAAGTTCCAGAATTTATCTAGAAACTCATTAAATCAAATTGAAATCATAATGGAAAATTTTTATAGAATTTAATTTTTAATAAACGATCATTTTAATTTTATTACACACACACACATATAGAGTAATATTCATTCATACTTTTTTTTTTGAATTTTATATAATACATTTATACATACATACATACATTATTATGTATTACAAACTTATGGTTCCTTTTTATTTTCATTTTAGAATTGACTTTACTACGCAGTATAACAACTTGTATTGATTATTATTAATAAAAAAAAAAGTAAACAAATGACGAATTTAATTTTTTATATTTTATTACGCGAAAACTCGCTCGGCCCCTTTTTTTTATACATATTATATTCAAATAACAAATATATATGTACATAAATAAGATATTTTTCAAATTGATCTGTAATCTTGATGTTATGTTGTCCAATTGATGATGTTATTTTAAATAATGTAGTAAAAATTTTAATTGCGTCATTCTTTACAACATAAAAATGTTTTTATCAAGAATATTTGAAGCTGTATATAATGTATTGATGTAGGTACGAGTACGTTACGGACATATGTGTGTATGTAAATGTACGTACATAATGTGTAAATCAAAAAAATTACATGATTATGTATGTATATTTAAATATTTTAGTAAATCTCTTGAATTAATTTGATTGAAGAAATTAAGGTGCCATACAGTTCATGATTTCTTGGTAGAATTTCATTTAGAGCAACAGCAACTACTATGTAGGTACTATAAAATTTTATTAAATTAAAATTTTATATTTGTATTTTAATTTTAATTCTAAATTTTATTTTCTAGAAGTATTCAACAGCATGTTGTATGACTTTCAATAATAATTTGTTTTACATAAAATTGAAGTCACAATTATAATTATTGCTCATTCGTTTACAAAGTTATTGTGAATTGTAAGAGGTCAAATTAAAACTATCTGAATTGAATGACATTTTATAAGGTAAAATAAAATTACATTTTTTTTTTGCAGATTAAAGTAATTTATACAGCTTTTGTAATTTATACAAATTGTTCGTTTCCAAAAAGTTTCCAAAATAAAAATATTGCAAATTATGTAAATATGTTTCTACGAACTTGTCGTAAGAGTGTGAAGCCATAATTATATAATGTACTTTCAATGTCATGAGTAAATTATGTGACAAATTTTGTGTGAGCGGTTTTCAATTACTCTAAAATTCATTATCGGTTTATACTGCCAAATTACAAGTTAAATAGATTAATTAGGGTTATTAAACAAAATTAAAAACAAAAATTGAAAATTACAATCTTTGAGTTTATTGAGTTTTACATGGAATCTCAAAACTAAATAGAAACAAATTTTAAGTTCTCAATATTTGTACAGGTATGTATATATATAAATAATATATTAATAAATCAATAACGGTACAGAAAATTTGTAAAACACTAAAAATCAATTTTTTTATTATTGAAAAAATTTATAATAAAATTATATAATCTACACGTTTTGATAAATTACATTTAAAATTTTATTTATCATCATAATAAGTAAATTGAAATTCCACCACATCCACCATATTTAAATATGAACAGGCAATTTTTTAAGTCATCTGTATAACAATAACGTTATTATTGTAAATATGTAGTTATATATGGTATAACACTTGAATATAATATGCGCAATTAATTTTACTATTCATTGAAAATTTATTAAAATTTATAATAAATTACTATAATAATTTAAATAAATTGTTTTTTTTTGTTTGTTTTGTTATTTAATAATAATTTCTAGTAAAAACAAATATTCACCGTATATAGAATATTCAAATCAAGTACAAATCATATATAATTGCATATGTATATGTATAGATGTGTATGAGTGTGTTTATGCAATTAAGTACACACGTTTATCGTAAAATGACAGTAATAAATATTTTTCTTAAAATTATAATCTCGCTTTTTTTCAGATCACATTGCAAATATTGCATATAATTTACTTAAATTGTTTATACATATGTATAACATTATGTACTATATATAATATAAAATATTGTACAAAATAATATTATGTATGTGTTTGTATTTTACAAATCTGATTAAAAAGGGGGCTTGGCTCGTCGTAACTCATCGTTGACATGTTCAACTTAAATATTATAAACGTGCATACCTATATAAGTAAGTGTACATTTAAATATAAGAGAAATATTAATATAAATTATATATGAGATGTGGTTCTAATTGATTCATGCATATTTTATATATACATGTGTATGTGTATACATCAATTTAATGTATAAAATATAAATTTTACTTAGTGTAGGTCAGTTAAATTTTTATTTTATGTATTCTGTTCTATCCTGTTTTTTTCGTTTTTATTATTATTTTTAAAAAAATTTCCATTGTATATATAGAAATTGGTATAAAAGGGATACTAACGCAAAAAATTACTTAAGTATGTGTGTATATTTTTTTTTTTAAAATGTCGTGATCTTTTCATTATCTATTTATTTTTTATTTATATTTGCCGTGGTTTTTACTAGGTGAAATGATATAATTAATCTTGAAAATGATTTATAGAGAATAAAAAATAAAAATTGAAAATATTCAATTACTATGAGTGAATACTGCGAGTCTTGTAATAAAAGGCATATAATAAAAATAATAAACTAAATTTTTTAATTATATGCCTTTTATATATATAAAAAAATCAGCAGATAAACTATATGTTTATTATTTATTTTAATTGTAGATAATAAGTATGTATGTTCAAATCAAATGTAACGCATAGCCTAATAAAAGTCATAAATTTAAACCACAGAATATGAGGCTGCTGTATAGAGAAATTTGAAAGAAGAGCCTATCTCACATAATATTAATTTGTAAAATAAATATAAAAAGAGAGTCAACTGCAGTGACGCAACAGGAAGAACAGGAAC